GAAGAAATTAAAGTCAAGATTTGCATGATGTAAATCTGCTGCTGAAAAAAAAAAAAATTGAGACATTCTGCTTCTGTAAAGATTTATAGCCTTGGAACCCCAAAGGGAGAGGGTAGTTCTACTCTGTCCTATAGAGTCACTATGATCAGAACTGCATTAAAAAAAAAAAATTTATTGGGGGCTTATATAATTCTTATCACAACCCATTGTGTCAATCACATTTGTACATTTGTTGCCATCATCATTCTCAAAAACGTTCTCTTTCTACTTGAGCCCTTGATATCAGCTCCTTGTTTCCCCCCCTCCCCCCTCCCTCCCTGCTCCTCCTCCCTCATGAACCCTTGATAATTTATAAATTGGTATTTTGTCATATCTTACACTGTCCAACGTCTCCGTTCACCTACTTTTCTGTTGTCCATCTGCCAGGAAGGAGGTTATATATAGATCCTTGTAATCGGTTCCCCTTTCCAACCCATCCTCCCTCCTGGTATCACTACTCTCCCCACTGGTCCTGAAGGGCTCATCCGTCCTGGATTCCCTGTGTTTCCAGAACTGCCTTGATGGCAATGACTTTTTGAGGCAGTTTGCTTCTGTGAAAATGTACAGCCTCAGAAACCCTATGGGCCAGCTCTATGTCGTCTTATAGGGTCACTATGAGTCCGAGTTGACTGGAAGGCAGTGGGCTTTTAGGTCATTAACTGAGGGACCCCTCCTTGTCCCTAAGGGGAAGACAAGGCCCGGAGTGAGGTTACTGAACAGGTCATCCTTTTTGCTGTGCATCCGCTATGTGCTAGCTACCTGTTCATCTATTTGGATGCACCACCTCTTAAATATGTAGTCTACTGTGCCAGACACTTTTCACGGCACAGGGGACACAGCAGAGACAAAAACCTTTGCCCTAAGACAATAGTAAACAAGTACAGCATCGTGACATTGATGAGAGAGACTAAAGCCCGGGTGGCCAAGTGAAATGACTTGGTATGACTCCTCCCTCTGCCAACTTTGTCACTCTCCACAGTGATGGGGTGGGAGCCTGCAAGCTGGCTGGATGCAACCAGTGGGTTTCTCAACATAGCCCGCATCTAGGTCTCTTCACTGCTATCGTGCCCATCCTCTGGGTAGCGGTGAGCTCTCGCCAAAGCAAACTCCTACGGCCAACAAGAAAGAAGTGCGGAGCAAGCACATGCAGATCTCTTCACAGAAGCAAGGCTGGTGGGAGACTTTGTCTCGTTTCCTCTGTACTCATGTTACCAGGAGGGACGTGTGACCCTGGAGAAGGATCTTATGCCTGGGACAATGGAGGGCTGGTGAAAAAGAGGGAAACCCTCCAGTAGTTGGAGTAAGACGGTGGTTACACAAATGGATTCAGTGACGGTGAGGGTGGCATGGGCTGGCAAGTGCTTCATCCTGTTGCACACAGGGTCACCCCGAGTCAGGGCCAACTCCGAGACCCCCTAGCCACTACCCTCCTTCCCCTAAAGAATCCTGCTGTGTGATTTATACATCAGCACAGCAAGCGGGGGCCCCCAGAGAGGACACAAATCATGTTCCTTTTCAATGTTGTGGTCGGGGAACAAACTGTCAGGGTTTTAGGGGGCGTGGGATAAGGTTGCCTGATGCAATCTTGTGAGGCAGCCCTGCAGGGACATTATTGTGCGGGGCAGTGTGGGGTGCGGGTGGTTCTTGGTACAGCTTCCCTGGCCTTTTTATTCCCAGTGCAGTTTTCTGTTTTATATTTTTCAGGATAAGCTTCATCATCCAGTGGCCTTCGGGAAAATCTACCACAATTACCCTTTGAGGAACCCCCAAGAACCCCCTTGTGAGCTGCTTTCTCTGCCCTGAATTTTCCCGGTCCATATTCCCTGGGAAGTCACGTTCTTTTTTTTTTTGTTAATCATTTTATTGGGGCTCATACAACTTTTAAAAAAAATTATTTTATTGGGGGCTCATACAATTCTCATCACAATCCAGACATACATCCATTGTGTCAAGCACATATGCACATTTGTTGCCCTCATCATTCTCAGAACATTTGCCTCCCACTCTAGCCCCTAATATCAGTTGCTCATTTTCTCTCTCCCTTCCCCCTTCCCCTCCCTCATGAACCCTTCATAGTTCATAAATCATTATAGTTTTGTCATAAGTTACCCTGTCCGATGTTTCCCTCCACCCTCTTCTCTGCTGTCCATCCCCCAGGGAGGATGCAATACTTATGTAATTGGTTCCCCCCTTTCTACCCCACATTCCCTTCACCCTCCAGGCATTGCCCCTCTCACCACTGGTCCTGGAGGAGTCATCTATACTGGATTCCTTGTGTTTCCAGTTGCTATCTGTACCAATGTACATCCTCCGGTCTAGCCAGATTTGCAAGGCAGAATTGGGATCCATGATAGTGGGGGGGAGGAAGCATTAAAGAACTAGAGGAAAGTTATATGTTTCATCTTTGCTACCCTGCACCCTGATTGGCTCATCTCCTCCCCACAACCCCTCAGTAAAGGGGTGGAAGTCACGTTCTGTTTTGAAGACTAAAGACAGGTGTGTTACTGAGGAGTCTTCTGCAGCCACCCCCTAATTACAGGCACATGTTTAAGCAATGAACCAGAACCTTACTGGCCTGCTTTTGACTTACTTTCATCTCATATGCTGTGTCCCAGATAAATTCCAAGTGGTAGCATTAGGATCCGGACTTCTGATGAGAATACTGAGGCCCAGAGGGAGAACACTGTGCTTTCAAATTCACCCACTCTAAACAGAGGGCTAACAGCCCTTAGATATCGAAGCCCTATCCTTTCTGTGGCTCTTCATCTGAGAAAGAGTGCTCCTGATGAGAAAAGAGTCCTATTTCTGAGGATCGTGAATGACATTCAGGGGAAACAGGCACAGGTGTGCAAAGCACAAAGCAAGCACTCAATCCAAGTTTCTGAATATTAACCGTCATCTTCTCTTTCTACCCCACCCCACCCCACCCCCAAACCAGGAAGTCAATATTGAGAATCAGAGCTGTTTATTGTGGGATATCAGCCAAAATCACGGGAGAGAAGAAGTCTTAGTGGGTTCAAGGGTGAGCCTTGAGTGGAAGAATCCATCCTGGGAGAATAAGCCGACCCCTCCCCCCCACCCAGGCCTATGAAGGAAGCCTCAGGGGGTGCCCAGAGGTATGGTGAAGGACAGGTAGTCCCCAAGGGCTCCCCAACGGGGCCGGTAGATCTGGAAGATAGTGATCCAGGTGGTGAGTACAATTACCCACAAGAGGAAGCCCACAGCTGAGCGCCAGACATCTGTAAGGTGGTAAAAGAGTCGGGCTGCTCTCTGGGTTCCCCTAAGGCAGCTTTTTCCTCTCTTCAACAGAGTTCCAAACTTCTGGACCCTCCATCATGCCCTCCCACTCCAGCGTCCCCCTCCCTCCATCTGCGGATTCCCTTCCTCTAGCCTCCCACACTCACAGCCCTTGATCTGGCTCTGCTCCGTGTAGGGCGGGGCGAGGAAGGCCTCCCGGAAGAACCAGAAGATGTTGACCAACCACAGGAACGGCAGGAAAGCAAAGCCGCCTAGAGGGAAAAGGAGGCAGGTCATCAGGCGTCAATTAGCACCTTCCTCGTTATCCTCCAGGCTCCAATGAGAGCTGTTGTCGAGGTCCTCTCTCACCTTCGCATGGAGATCTCTAAGGTCAAGGGCTCACGAATCCCGGTTTCCTCCTGGAATCCAGAAATCGGATTCCTCCGTCACTCCTTCCTCAGGAAGCGGAGTTCATTCTCCGACACTCTCCTTCCTAGGCCCCCGGAGTCCAATCCCCTGGACCGCTCCTTCCAGGACTGGATCCTACTCCTTGTGACTCCTCCCTCCAGGGACACAGGTGCTCCAAGCTCCTGTCCCATCAGACCCAGGAGCCCTCAGAAAGCAGGCCTTCAGACCCAGGACTCCGTGTCCCCTGCCACTGAACACTTTAGACCCGTGTGGCCAGGCTCCCAGGCCCTTCTCCGCAGGTTTGCCGGTCCGGCCCCCTAGCTCTGGTCTCCTGCACCCCAAGACGACCAGCTCTTACCCAGGTAGTACTTCCGGCACAGGTTCAGCTTCTCCTCGTTGGACACTCGCTCCAAGTTCATAGTTGCTCCCGTGCAGAGTTGTCCAAGGGCCTGCGGGATAAGACCCACGCCTGGACCCCTGCAAGACAGGTGTGCAAGAGCCGCGAATGGCCACGCCTTTGTCCATCGTGTCAAAACGGCGACAAACTCAGCGGTGGCTTTGCGGAGAAGGAGGACATCCCCCGCCCGCACCAGCGAGCTGACTAGGCTGGGACCTGCTCTGTGTTACTGGGGTGCGCGAAATCGCCCACAACTCACCCGAGGCGTGAAACCCTGCTTCTTCCCAAGCGATGCTCTGGCTCGTTTCCACCTCAGACTTCCGCAGGCGCCGTCGCGGGTGTCCCTGGGGCTTGTAGTCGTTTCGTTTTCCAGCAAAGGGAGGGTGGGGGGTCTGAGCCCACGCCGCACGGCTGCGCAGTCGGAGCAGCTCCGCCGTTGCGCGCGGAGGGCGACGCGCTCCCCAACGCGAGCGCCCTAAGGCGTCTCCGAGCCCCGGAGAAGCGCCCCGAGGCACCCACGAACTACATTTCCCGGCGCTCCCCGGGAGCGGAAGTGACGTCGCAGCTAGCGGGGCTGGAGGGTTCGGGTGAAAATGGCTGAATACTTAGCTTCGATATTCGGGACTGAGAAGGACAAGTGAGGACAGGCGTAGGCAGTGGGCCCCTCGGGGCGGCTGGGGACGGGGCGTGTGGGTCCCTGGTGGCTGAGCGGCTTGGGCCGGTGTTTCTGGGCTGCCCGGTCTCCCCGAGCCTCGGTTCACCTCTGTCTTTGCCCCTCTTCCAGGGTTAACTGCTCTTTTTACTTTAAGATCGGGGCCTGCCGGCACGGGGACCGGTGCTCGCGGCTTCACAACAAACCGACTTTCAGCCAGGTGAGGCCCCGCGCGGCGCGTCCCCCTTTGCTGTCCGTCATCGTGAGGGCCCGCCTTTTCCGGGATGGGAGGGGCCCCCGCCTCCCCACTCGGTTGTTTTCTGGTGGGACCCCGCTGCTTGCTGCTGCTCCTGTCCTTTGGGCCCGCCCTCGGGAGCCCGCCACGCCCCGTACGTACAAGCCACATCCCTGGGCTGTCCGTCATGCTAGCTCCTCCCCCTAAGGTTTCCTAGGGGCCGCGTGACTCGCTCTCACTGTGCTTGGGCTCCGCCTCTGGTACAAGCC